TTTCGTTTTGTTTTGCACTCTAGTTTCAAGTAAAGCAAATATAGAAACTCTATGTCCCCGAAGGTAATGAAGCACTGCATTGTGCTTCAAGGGGCCATTGAAGCCCCTTGTGTTCCAACTAGCAGAGTCATTTACGGGAAGCAACCACCTTAGTGGTTCCCCCTTTACTTCTAAGCCCATCTCTTCCCCCCTTCCTTGGAGGAGCCTGTAAGATAATATTTGTTTGGCTACATAACAGTTCAAACGCATTAGAATGCAAAACAGGAGTAGGTACCTTCAGAGAAGACTTTGGCTTAGCTCCATTTATCACCTTGTTAAACTCTTCTTGTGAGGGTAAGGCACACGAGGTAACAAGAGGGGTAGAATCTTCCATGACCCTCTTTCCTTCATCAACAATAACTCCCTCACCTGAATCCTGAGCAACCCCCTTCTCAGTAGCGTCCTGCACATGTTCTTTCTCAGTATCTAGCACCTCAGACTAGTATTGGACTGTTTGCATCGCCAGACTCGTTTAGTAGGAACCCTAGCAGGGGGCAAAGAACAATCATGCCGAAAAACCCCACAGGCACCACATCAACGAGGTAACCCGCAATATTCAATACCAATGATAAATTCATTCATGTCATCTTGAGCAATACTGATTTTGTCAATTCTAGGCTTAGTAGCACATACTTCCACACAAACACGAACAGTACCAACCCTCTCCCGATGTGCAGTAGAATGATCCATATAGAGAGGCTTACCAATAGAACTCGCAATTCGACCCAATCCTTCTCTCATCGCCAATTTAGCAGGTAGCCCAGATAGCTTGACCCAAACCGGAACAGCGGAATTGTCGATCTCCAGCGCTCGAATCTCAGGGACCCAGCGTCGAAGGCAAATGATCTTCTCACGATAGTGCCACGGCCCCCCTTCAAACACCCATCGACAGGTCGCCTCCGATGGAAACTGAAAGAGAACCAACTTATCCTCTAAGAGTGAAACCTTTACCTCCCCATCGCGACTCCAAATCAAGTTAGCCCAGAAACGTGGAGCTGAAAGGGAAGGCAGAGTGACCAAGAACCGACCCACAAGGCTGTGCTCCCATTTTTCCGTACCCTCCTCGATCACCGATTTGGGGATCCGAAGCGACCCATTGATAAACTCAGGCTCATAGAAATCCAATCGCACCTCCTCAGAAACAGGAAACAAAGAAGCCCAAGACCTACCGCCACCAACGGCGCCAGGCGTGGCTCCGTCGGCGACGGCGGCCATCGCGACAAACAAAGAAGGTTTCAAAGAATTTCAAAGAGGAGAGAGAAAGATATTGATATTTTGATCTTCCAACATTACTTTCACTTTTAGGTTAACATTAAAAAATTTAAAACTATTACTTTTTAAATTATTTATTTTTTTCATATGCGAAGCGATAGTGAGTATAGGTGTCAATCGGGCGGGTTCGGGTTCAAACGGGTTGCGGGTTAGTCGGGTTGCGGGTTCATCCGGTTCGGGTTCAAACGGGTTGCGGGTTAGTCGGGTTGCAGGTACATCGGGTTGGGATTCAATCGGGTTGCGGGCAAATCGGGTTGCGGGTTCATCGGGTTTTGGGTCGGGCGGGTTGCGGGCGGGTCTGGTTTCGGGTTGTTCGGGCCAGCGCATCAAGTAACTTAACTCATTACTCATTACCAACTTACACATTTTATTACACTAATTTAAAATATTTTCTCAACTTTTTAACCAATTTATTTCTACCTCGTATATATATACTTTATTTTTTGGAAAAAAGCTAGTCAAAATGTTAAATCAATTTGTATGACTTGCAAACTTGTTATGTAATTAATCATAATTGGTAAAGTATTATAGCTAATAGTAATGGTGATATCAATATTTGCAACCAAAAGACACCGTTAATTGTTTATTTGATATTTTAGTATTAATTCAGTAGTAATTGGATTAAAGTATCTCGTTTAGTATAACCATGCAAATCTGGTATTTGGCGTGTGGTATTTGGCAAAAGCATAGTGATAAAAGGAGTTATTTCAAAATAACTCATTGCCCAAATAACTTTAGTAAACTGTTGCCAAACGAGTTATTTGTAAAATTGTTCGAATTATCCTAAAAACTGAACCATTAAAGATTAGCTATCAAATTTAGTAAAATTATTGTGACTTCAATCATAACTTACTCAATAGCATATATCCTATACACTTAGCTTTGCCTTCAATGAACAATATTAAGTTAGTATATGTTGTTGATTGTATACCCTAAACCATCAATACATTATACACTAACCACATAACCTATACCCTAATCATATGTCCTTGAGTTATGATTTTGCTAGTATAGTTAATTTAAAAGTGAAAATCATACTTTGATTTTCAAAACATAGATAAAAAGTGATATTTGCTAATTGTTATACCCTAACCATATATCATATACTTTACACCACATACCTTGTACCCTAACCACGTACCATAAACATAAATTAAAAAGGGATCTCCTGCCGTTAAAGACTTCAAATGACTTCAAGTGAACATATGTTAATAAAAAACTTAGAACCGTCAAAACCATCAATATCTTATACCCTAACCATATACACCCTAAACTATATGTACCTTATACCTTATACCCTAACCATATACTTTATATCCTAAACAACGAACCGTCAAAGATTACTTATCAAGTTTAATATAAGTTGTTGTAACTAATGGTTAATTTATTTATTAGCCCATAAAAAATTACATACATATATACATATTAGCCTTCAAAGCATATAAGAATAATTTTAACTAGTCATGTCCTCCATATAAAAGTTAAAGATTCATATTTCAAAAGCTAAAATTATGAAAAACCAAAAAATTGAAAACACCAAATTTGTTTCCTTCTTTCTTTTCACAAAAATACTAAAATTTTCCTCCTTCTTTCTCCTTCCATACATTAGAAAAACTCAATTTTCCCTCCTCTTTCTCTTCCATAAAATTGAAAGAACCAAATTACCCTCTTCTTTCCTTCTATAAAAAGTTGAAAAGTCAAAAGTTTCCCTCCTTATTTCTCTTTCATAATCAAAAAATCAAACTTTCCCACTTCTTTTTCTTCCCACATATCAAAACCACCAAAATTCCCACTTGTTTCTTTTCTAAAAAATTCAAAGAACCAAATTCCCCTCTTCTTTCTCTTCCCAAAAACTTGAATACACCAAAATTTCCCTCTTCTTTTAAAAACATCAAATTACCAAATACATTACTTTACTTTATTTATATTTAATTGATAATTTTATTGAATAGTTAAATTAATCAAAATTTTAATTTATATATTATATTAATATTGTCATGATCTCAAGTGACCTTCATGTTTCAATTTTTGTAATTTTGTTAAAATACGTAATATCAAGTGAGTTTCATATTTTTAAAATTTCTTATACGAAATGAAAAAATAATTTTACTTAAATTTAGAATGAAAAAATTTATTTTTAAAAACTATGTATTGTATATTTTTATAATTATTCAAGTGGATTAGATGAAATTCGGGTTGAGTCGGTCGGGTTACGGGTTAGTCGGGTTCGGGTCAATCGGGTTTGGGTTAATCGGGTTGTGGGTTAGTCGGGTTGCAGGTCAATCGGGTTCGGGTTAATCGGGTTGCGGGTTAGTCGGGTTGCGGGTCAGTCGGGTTGCGGGTCGGGCGAGTTACGGGTTGTTGACTTTTAGTCAATTCGAATTGCGGTCGGGTTGCGGGTCGGGTTGAGCGGGCGGGTTAATCGGCTCGGGCTATGTTTTGACACCTATGATAGAGAGCGGGATTTTGCTAGTATTTTTTATTTTTATCATTGACATGTCAAGAGGCGTATCCAACCTCACTTGTCTAACTGCAGCTCCACGGCTCCACCACAGATTGGAGGTTAAGTCAGATCCGTACGATTAAATTTTGTAAATAATCGGTCAATATTTAACGGCTGAACTGTAAAATACTAGTTGATTTTGGTCAAACCATCGATGAAGGAATCCATTGCAATTAAATAAATAAAACAAAGATAAACCAAAATAGGTAGTTTTGTGTGAAAAAGCCCAAACTTCGGAAATCAAAATTCCAGAACCTAACCTTATTTTTTTATTCACAGATAGGTCGAAAGATAGACAGAAGATTAAAGATTGTTGAAAAGTAAATAGCGGTAGTCAATCAATTGTTGAGCTATCGATGCAAGGGCCGTTTTTGCCACGCAATGAGCAGCCCTGTTAATACTACGATGAGCATAAACAAATCTAATTATAGAGAAGGCAGACTTCATCCGACGAATTTCTTCTAGTACCGCGCCCCCACGATCATGAAGTAATCATCCTCCAATGCACGTCGTATCACCAATTGCGCATCACCACAGAAGCAAACAATGTGAAAGTCCCGAGGTAAAGACCATGACATGACATCCCGTAATGCTAACAATTCAAGGAGAACGGGATCAGTCAAACCTGGAGAGGACTTACCGAGCGCGCAAACGAGGGAGGAGTTCGGTGCAAAGCCAACAAACCCTATGCTTCCCCAAGAACCTAACCTTATTCAAATTATAAGGAATAGGGCTGTCCATTTGGTTTTGGTTTTAACCGAAACTAAACCAATTGGAAAGCTAATGGTTTCAGTTTTTCGGTTTTAAACCAATAAGCAACTTAATGGTTTTTGTTCGTTTAAAACCGAAAAACCAATAGAAACCAATAAGACTAAAAGTATTTATCAATAAATAATATTTTTTTTTGTTTCTTTTGACATGCATGCCAACCAATAATTTGTAATGACCATTTACCATTATTATGACATTTATTCAATACAAAGGAGGAAAATGGGAATAAATATGAGTGTATTAGTCCGTGTTGGTTTTTTAATTATCCAAATCAAAACCATTAAGACCCTTATTGATTTTCGGCAACCAAAAACCAATAACGATCTTAGTGATTTTGGTTTTGGTTTTTCATACTTAATGATTTGATTAACCAATCCAAACCAAATTGACCGCCCTAATAAGCAATATAGAAACCTCAGTTGAAATATATTTATTTTCTTCCAACAACTCCTTGATACCAAAAACCAGCGAAAAGAAGAAACAAAAAACTTCAACAGTCTGTTAATCACAAACCACCTCTAACAACAATTGGTTGACTTAAACATTGGGTGGAATACTCTGTTCGTTCCTGAACACATTGTGAGGATCAACCCTGGTCTTCACCCTCACTAGTTCATCAAAGTTCTTGCCAAAATACTTGTCACCCCACGCCTTCGCCATCCCGTAGCTCGTTCGCAGTTGATCGCCACCATTCGACCCAATATCGAGGTCCCTGTAATTCACATAAGCAGACCTCGGATTCTTGGAAACATAAGGAGCCGTGAAATTGTAGAGCTCCCTGATCCAGCCAATGTGCTTCTGCGCTTCTTCCTCGCCATCATTTATCCAATACGACAGGTACTGAACTTGATACAAGTTCCCTGCTCTGTGCGGGAATGGAATGCTGGAATCCGATATCTCATCCATTCTCCCTCCGAAAGGGGCCATCAGGATTATTCCGCCACCGACATCGGTCTCGAAGAGTTTTCCCCATATCTTCAACAGGGCAGCCTTCGGAACTGCATCCTGGACGTAATCCGATTTCGACTTGTACTTGAACGACCCGACCAATGGCGAAATGGTCCGGTCGAGCAGCACATCCACGGAGCTATTACTTGGGAACCCAGCGTGAAACACCATCGCCTGGAGCCAACTCATTTCCTGACAATCCTCTTTCCGCAGGCCGAGATCTGGAAACCTGCTCTGCATCAGGCTGACCAGGCTGTTGGATCTACCTTGGAACAGCGCGTTGAATGTCGCTCTAATGGTTGTTGTTGTCGTTGAGGAGTTGGTTGTTGTCACCGCAAGCTCGATCATTAACTCCTTGGGGAGCTTGTTGGCCACGGATTGCCATCGGTGGACGATCTCCAGGGCGTTCTGTTCCAGAGTCTTGTTGACCCTGAACACGGTCACCGGAGACGGAACCGAGACCAGTATCACTTTCCAAGCAAGAACAATCCCGAAGCTGTTTCCTCCGCCGCCGCGGATGGCCCAGAACATGTCTTCTCCCATGGAGGCTCTGTCGAGGACGCTACCTTTGGAATCAATTAGGACTGCGTCCAACACATTGTCCGCAGCGAGACCGAATTTCCGCATCAAAAACCCAAACCCACCTCCGCTGAAGTGGCCGCCGACGCCGACCGTATGGCAGGAACCCGCGGGGAAGGCGAGATTGGGACTCGCTTCCCCTATTCGGTGATAAAGCTCCCCCAAAATCGCTCCGGACTGAACCCACGCGGTCTTTTCCGGAACATCGACGCTGATGTTGCGGAAATTGACGAGGTCTACTACCACAAAGGGGTAATTGGGATATGGGGAGGTGTAGGAGAGGCCCTCGTAGTCATGGCCGCCGCTTCGAACCCGGAGCTGCAGCCCGTGTTCCCGGCAACAGTGAACAGAGGCTTGGATTTGGGAGAGGGAAGTGGGAGTGACGATGACGGAAGGTTTAGGAGCAAGGGTGGTGTTGAATCTGGCATCTCGGATTGTGGATTGGAGAACTAGGGAGTACTTGGGGCTCGCCGGCGTATAGATGAGATTGGTATGCGTGGCGACGGTGCTGTTTTGAGAGAGGAGGCATTGTGTGAAATCTTGTGAAGTTTTGAATGGAGGCGAGCTCCATGAGTGTGGAAGTTGCAGCAGGAGCAGGAGGAGGAGGAGGAGCAGAGGCGGCAACATTGCTGGGTTTTGGTTTGGTAATGGACTCCCAAAAATGGATAATATTGGGTCCATTTTATATAAATCCGAACCCGGAAATTCTAGTGGTCTTAGCAACTCACTTTTCCAATTCTCTGTGTTTGGATTTCAACAGCTAATTATAGTTTGGTATCCAAACTTGATAAATGTTAAACTCTAGTACCTAAAATCAATTTTTTATATACATGGCTTAAAATATTGATGGAAATTATCTTTTAGCACCTAAAAATTTAATATCTTATATTTTGGTTCCTAAATTTTATAAAATTTACAAATAGGTCCAATTTGATGAGATTTCGAGTCTATATAAGAAACTTGTGGATATGTTTTAATAAATTTGTGTTATGCTTTATGAGTTTTCTATTATTATTCATGGAATTTATAGTATGCTTAAGGGAACTTGTAGCTTGCTTGTTTTTTTTTTTAGAAGTGTGTTTTAAGAAACTTGTGGTCTACTTTAATAAACTAGTGGTATGTTTAATGAGTTTCTGGTGTGCTTCATGAAATTTGTGACCTGCTTTAATAAATTTGTAGTCTGATTAATAAGATTTGCAGTGTGCTTCAGCGAACTTGTGGGTGTTTTTTTTTAGCAGAATTGTGTTTTGAGAAACTTGTTATTTATTTTATGAGATTTCTGGTGTGCTTTAAGGAAATTGTTGTATGCTTTAAGAAACTTGTAGTTCCATATGAAAATTATAGAGTGTAATATTTAGTATCCAAATTTTTTTTTTTTCGTTGAATCAGTTCCTCTTTTTATTAATTTGCAAAAAAGGAAACCATTTGCAAGACACAAATGGCCAAAACCAATACAACGAAAGGAAAGCTCAAGTAGAGCAGCCCTATAAATTGAAATAAAACCGCCTACCTCCTACCACATCCTCCACAGAGACCTACTCATAGTTATCAACCCCTAAACATCTCCCTGCAACCCGAGCAACTGCAGTCCTTCAGTAAGATCTTCTTTATCAGCACAAACAATCCTCAAATCACAAGTGACATCCCTGATAAATTCCTTCACCTGCTTCCTGGTGTTTCCATATAAGCGACGGCAACGCTCCTTCCAGATCCCCACACAGCATAGGCACCAGATTAAGCTTGTTATCCTACCCAGCTTCGGCCTTTTACAACAGGCAATACCTTCAGCCACAGTAGCTTCCCAAGATCCACAACAGAGCACCCCCATTTGCAAAGCCATTACCACTTGACGAGAGAAAGCACACGCAAAGAATAAATGTTCACAAGTTTCAATTGCAATACCACACAACACACACAAACCATATGTCTGCTTACCCCACGTCATCAGCTTCTGCTTAGTGACCACAGAATCTAACATGATCATCCAGGCTAGGAAGCTGTTCCGAGGGACATAATTCTTTCCCCAGACTAGCTTAGCCCAATCTACCACCGCATACTTAACTCGCAAGGTGCTCCAAACTACAGACACTTTGAACACATGCATAGGTTTGTTATCCCACATAATCTGAGAATTTTGCAGCAACAATAATGATTGGATCAGAGTTCGCAGCTTGAGTATCCGCCTCCAGGCCCAGGAGCTGCTTGGACAATCAGAAACTGTCCAGATACAGCGATCCTTGACTTTATACTGTTGAAACCACGCTACCCAGATAGCACCACTCTTCATTAGGAACAGCCAGAGAAACCTGACTGTACATGCCTTATTCCAGGCACATAATTCACGCAGCCCCAAACCTCCTTCCATTCTAGGCCTTGCCATCCTATCCCAACTCACCTTAGCACGACCCTCTTCTCCCCCATGCTAGAGAAACCTAGAACACACCAGTTGAACTTGCTTTATAACTTTCTTGGGTAAGATAAAGATCTACATCCAGTATTGGAGTGTCCCCATCAGAACTGAAGAAATCAACTGCAACCGCCCAGCATAGCTGAGTTTTTTTGCGCCAAGACTGGATCTTCTTCGTAATTATGGCCACTAATTTGTCAGTCTCACTAGAAGGCAACTTACCTGAAAGAAGAGGCACACCCAAGAATCGGACAGGTAAAGTCCCTTCTGCAAAACCTGATACCTGCAAGGCTGTCTGCTTGAAGTGCACTGACTTCCCACCAAAGTAAACCTCGCATTTTCCTGGATTGCACTTTAGCCCTGAAATGGTATGGAAATCTTTCAAAATCCCCTGAACTCTCTGAATAGCCTGTCCTGAACCCTCTGTGAAAATGAGCAGATCGTCGGCAAAACACAAGTGTGTCAGGCCAACTTTCTTGCATTGGGGATGAAAAACCAAATTGCCCTCTGCAGCAGCTCGATTCAAGAGAAGTGAAAGCCCTTCCATTGCTATTGTAAATAGGTAAGGTGAGAGGGAATCACCCTGTCTCACCCCCCCTCTGTGCCCCAAAGAATCCACAGCCCACCATTAACACATATGCTAAATTTTGCTGTTTTAATACAAAGTCTGATCCAGTAGATGAATCTCTGAGGGAATCCCATTACTTCCATAATGAGGAACAAATAGCCCCAATGAACATAATCGAATGCTTTCATGAGGTCCACCTTTATAGCACGTCGAGAAGATAGGGTACCTTTGTGATATCCACTCACAAGCTCTTGAGCCATTAGAATATTATCTACAATCCTTCTCCCTTCAATAAAAGCATATTGATTTCCACTAACTACACTAGACAGAACCTTTTTCAATCTGTTCGCAAGCAACTTGGCAATGATTTTATAAAAGATGTTCACACAAGAGATTGGCCTAAACTCTTTTAACCTACAGGCAGAGGCAACCTTTGGTATCAACGATACAGCAGTGGAGTTAACACTACTAGGAAGCTTACCTGTAGTGAAGAAACCCAAAATTCCAGCAGTGATGTCTTCTCTAATAATCCCCCATGTGCGCTTGTAGAAGCCAGCTGAGAAACCATCTGGGCCAGGGGCTCGATGAGAACTCATGCCAACTACCACCTGTCTCACATCATCGGCTGTAAACTCCTGACACCAGAAAGTCTTATGCTCCTCACTCAGTCTATGCAGGACCAGGTTCTCCAGATACTGCTTACAAGGATGTACATCAGGGTCAATAAAACTGAATAAGTTTTTATAAAACCTTACCGCTTCAGCCGCAATGTCATCCATCTCCACTATCTCCTCACCCCCTTCAAGTACTAACTTCCTTATAGCCTTCTTAGTAGTCTTAATTTTAACCAATTGATGGAAAAATCTAGTACCCTGATCTCCCAACTTCAGGTCATTTACCCGAGCCTTTTGCCAATAAAAACTCTCCTCGTCCTTTTTTAGCTTCACAAGTTAGAATTTAGGTCTTCTACTACAGCAAAAAGATCACCAGAGGGACTGGATAGAGCCATTTCTTGCGCAGCAAGCAACTGCCCTGCAATGTCCCTCACCTGTCCACTGATGTCATTAAAAACTTCTCTATTCAACCTCTTCAACCCTTTCTTAACTGCATTTAGTTTGGTTTTAACAACCTGGAATAGGTCCCCCTGAGCAGGTGTAGACCACCCTTCTTCGACAATTTGGTAGAAATCAGGTTGACCAGCCCAAAGATCAAAGTATTTAAAGGGCTTTGGGAGAGATTTCTGTTCAGGCTTCGTGTTGACACAAACCCCACAGTGATCTGAAAAGGCCCCTACCAGGATCTCAATTCCACGACAAGGAAAGGCATCAATCAAACCAAGTGTCATTAACAAGGGCTCGATCAAGTTTCCTGGTAATAGGGTTATCCTTTTGCCTGTTCGTCCAAGTAAAGAAAGGCCCACTCGATCTATGATCAACCAGTTCCATACCATCTACCCAATTCTTGAAGTCCATCATACAGCTAGTCATCGTGGTTAGGTTTGAAGTTTCCAGTGGGGATAAAACAGAGTTAAAATCCCCTCCAACAATCCATGGAGCCGTGGTTAACTTGAATCTAGCCAGGTCCTTATAAGTGTCCCTCCTCTCCATCTCATCATTAGACGCATACACAGCTGTGATGAAGCAACTAGCACCACTTGATTCTCTAGCCACACAATGTACATAATTCTTCCTGGCCACAAGAACTCTAAATTCAATATCCGAATCCCAGAATAACCAAATCCTGCCCAGGTCACTGTCGAAATAATTTAGAAACTTCTTCCACCCTATGCAAAAATCCACTACAGTCTCAATTGGTTTAGCTTTTCTAACCCTTGTTTAAAGGATAGCCACCACATCCACCTTATACCTACTCAGGACTTGTGAAAAGTCCCGGTATCCAAATTTTCTTTTGCATATAAGTTCTAAGAGTATTGATGAAAATTATATTTTAGAACCTAAATTTTTTCATTCTTACGTTTGATACCTAAATATTTTAAACATATAAAAATAGGTCAACATGCGTGTGACCCTAATTTTGGATAATGACAAGCACCCTTTTTAATAGTGGTAAATCCTTTGAAATAATAAAATTATCAAAATAAAATATTTTTATTGACGGGAATTAATACTAACATAGTTCTAAAAAAATTATTAGCCCTCTACAGCCACTACTATGTTAGGTGGGGGAGATTTTTGTCTATGGTGATTGATTTATTATTGTTATTATTATTATGGTTAATTAGTCACCACGAGATTCTTTTTATAATCCCCTTATGAATGATGATGTGATCCAGTTAGGTGATGGGCGAAATAATGGGCAACCGAGTTGGTGGACTTCAGTGCAAACCCCAACTTTTGACCCGTTTCACCAAAACCGGAGACCATTCCTTATAGTCACTTTCCATATTGGCATAAGCATTTACCATTAATTTAAAATTCTTGTTATTTTGGCAGACTTGATAAATTAGCACAATTAAACCCACAATCCAATTTTTGGTAATTTGATAAATGATTACAAATCTTTTCATTTCATACAAAAGGTAATAAACATTTAATTTGTAACGACTCGATAATAAATCTTTGTACTTAGTACAAAAAAGTCACAAATTAATAGTGACCATTTCACAAATTAAACTTTTGTGATTGTTTTGTACAAAGGTCAAAAGTTTGAATGATGCATAATTATTT